GCTGCGGGTCGCAAAAGGAGCGTGCCGCAGGCATGCCTTACATCATACATGAAATCGGCATTTAACAGCCTAGCTATCGGTGCTGAAGGTGGTGCAGCTTCGGCAATAGGCAGATAGTAAATGGAGCTCAAGCTACAATTCCCTTTAGCACCACCAGCTGGGCTGTCAAATCCCTTTTTCTTTGTGTGGAGGGGGTGCACCATCGAGGACTGAGACCCTTACTCCATGTCTGCAAACGCGTTTTGCGCTAGTACTTACCCACAAGGGGAAGGTGGCGGAAGCACTCCACATCAGCGAAAAGCGTCATAACGTTGTTTTTTTCACATCTGCGATTTAGGCGGCCATTTCAAGGATTAGAAATGGAAGCTATGGTTGGCTCGATTCTCCTTATTCCGGGGATTTGAGGATCCAAGTAATGCCGACTGGCCGGGCAAGATACGACTGCAGGCGTGGTGTAGAATCTTGACACAACTCCGGCTGGTATTCACTGATAAGCGGCGCTAAAGCGGGGAATATGTCGGGACTAGGATCAGATGTGCTACGGCTATCTTGCCGTAGGCCTGGAACGTGCCAGTCTAAATTGGCTAGTTTTCTACTACTCGTACGAAACGATGATAAGCCCTTTTTTCTTTTTCCTGCTTCCATCCCATGCAGAACAGTTTTTGAGCATCTTAAAGAGTTTTCAAGAGCATATAGCTCTATAGCAGAAACCCGGAAAGACTCACAAAATTTCCTGGTAGAAAACGGCACGAGTGGCTATTGAATGGTATGATGTGGGAAGTACGTATTTAGTATAGAAAAGTGGTCAATCCAGCATTTGTTACTTCGCCAAGGACCCCGCCATGTGCCGTCTTATGTTACTCCACCGTTCCCCTGCCATAACTATCCGCGATGGGAACTAGGGTTAGGGTGTACAGCGCCCAGAGCTAAAATCGTGCCCGACGGGGTACCCGGCAAGTACGCGATGACTTCAACATTAGTCGTTTTGGCCTTTCTTTTTTGCATTTCAGCTATCTTCCACCAATACACTCGCATTGCATACGAAACCGAGATGGCAAACCGAGGTTGTAAACCGAGATGATAAATGGAGATGTGCAAGCTGAAGATTGAACCCGCGGAACCGGACGATATAGCCGCTGTCCGACAAGCCCCTCCCCTGTCACTACACCATGTGCACTTAGAGAAAAGTGCAAATTGCCGATGCTTGTGATAGTTACAATCCTGCAGCAAGATCGGTCAAAGAAAGTTTATGTTGCAGTCGTCAGTATTAGCGCTACACCGGGTAAAGTGATCCCGAAACGCCAATGTATGATCGAGACATCAAGCGTGGTTGATCAAAAAACGAAAAAAAAACCTTTGCATGACAGGCTGCGGGCAAGGTGAATCACATGTCTGTTGACTGTTGGGCTGTGCCCGTGCGTAAAAGGTATATATTGAGCGGAGAATCTGCAAGTTATGTCTTTTCACAATCGTGCCTTTTATCGACTCGACAGCTTACGACTTGATTTTCTATCTCTGTTCGGCATCACTTTGAACTCTCTATCTCTGTTTGCTATATAGCGTACCAGATCACTTATCTCGAATAAATGGCAGCCCATACCCCTCGACAGTTTGCTTCAATGAATTCAGGCAAGCAGCGGAGGAAAGCGAGCATTTCCGACAGCGGGGTGAGGAAGAAGAAGCAGAAACAGACGGCAACATCTCAGGTAATTCCACGTCATACTGTTGTTCACATAAGTATAAGGGTTAACAGCGTTTTTGCAGCAACTTAGATGCTTGGAGGGAGTGAGTATCTCACACAGTTTGCACTGCACTGCTGACTTACTTGAACAGGAGATAAATTGGAACAAATCCAATGCTCGTAAAGAACCGAACATTGATACGGGACGGGAGACCGAACCTGAGCATAGTGGGGGCAATTTTTGGAACGGTCAAACTCCAAAAACCCCCAGCCTGGATGATGGAGAGGGTTACATCATTTCAGTACAAATGAAGTGCTCCTACCAACGCCTCTTGAGCCTCCGTAACTGGCTCAAGACACAAACTCGACTGCCCGATGTCATTGCCATCCAGGATCCTCCCTTGCAGCTCGCCTTCTCTTCTGTGTCACTTTACAATACCTGGTTTCGTGGAGACAATGGCAACGGTGACCGTGTTGCGATTGCAGGGGAGGATAACCCTTACTTCCGTCTCTATTCTCCTCCATATCCAACGGCTCATGAGAAACGGGCATCGATTGAGGAGAGGAAGAGGATCGAAGACGCAAAACAGCGACTCGAAGGTCAACTCGAAGGATGCAAAAAACTGGCAAAAGTTGCATTTCTGGTACACCAGTCCATTGAGGAATGGGCTGTATCGGAACCTCCTACATTGCCCAATAGAGGCCTTGTAGCGTCACTGCACATCAGGATCGATCCAGGTGAACTTGTTGTCCACAATTTCTATAACCACAACCATCCGAACGGCCGCTTAGATGTCGCAGGCCTCATAAATCCTTGTGGCGATGAATACAAGGCTCATGTCGTGGTCGGCGATAGCAACCTACAACACCCTCTGTGGAGCCGCAACATCGAGGAGAAGTATATCAGCAGGAAAGCTAAAGATCTTGTCGCAGCAATGGAAGCTAGGGAAATGGTATGCAAGAATGATGGATCCCTCACTTATGCTCGCGGTCAGCGCAGCAGTGGTGCGTATGCGTCTTCGATCGACATCATTTTCGTAAGTGGGTTTCTGGACGATCAGTCCTGGTACAGCGTTCTGAATGTCCCTGGATACGAGAGCGATCATGCTATCACCTCAGTCACAATCAGTATAGATCTGCGACGCAAGTCTGGAATACGATTTCTCTGGAAGGAAGCCGATCGAAGTAAATACAACGACTTCGTTGCATCACGTATAAAAACGCTGGACCTTCCTCCAAACCCCAATGGGACCGATCTGAATCGCACGTTGGGCACGTTCCGAGACATCATTCATGAGGCAATGTTGCGTCATGTAACCATCCGTGATATATTCCAGCATCATCCAATTCAACCGTCATCTATCAAGGTAGATTCAGCCAAGAATTCCGAAGACTACCGCAACTGGGTGGAACGGAAATCCAAGAGAACATTCGGGGTGAATCGCTTAGCCAGGAATACCTTGAACCGTGGCAAGCCGCGACCTCCCAAATACACGCCAGATTTTGAATCAACTCCCGGTGAAACGATCCAGGAAAGTAAAGAAAAGGTGAAATGTTTTGTCGTGCAAACTTGGCGCCTATTCAGGTACAAAGGACCCCCAAGAAATACGCCACATAGTAACGCCTCTTCGGAATCTCGTGTAAGTGTTCAGGCATTACTCATCTAACAACTGGCGCTATCACATGCTTACATGTACACAGGCTACTCTCAACAATAGCAACACGTCGACGAATGGACGCGACTTCCCGTTACCACTCCTCGTCCCTACCCGAAAACAATACCATTCCGACCAGCAGGTGACGGAGGAAGAAGTCGCGAGATTGCTGCAAGACGCGTCAGACCGCAAGTCCCCTGGTGTAGACGGTATTCCGTATGAGGCACTAAAGATATGTGCTAACGCCATAACACCCACCCTTACCTGGATTTTTCAGACGTGTCTTAACCTGCGGTTCCACCCTACTAGTTTCAAGGACTGCATCACCGTTGTTATCCAAAAACCTGGAAAGGACCCATCCTTACCCAAGTCCTACAGACCTATCGCCCTTCTGAACACGCTGGCAAAGCTACTAGAGCGGATAATAGCGGACCGATTTAAAAGTCTTGTCTTAGAAGTGGACGGAATGCTCCCATTTACACAATTTGGCGCGCCGGGCCGCAGCACAACTCTTGCTCTAGAATTGCTAACGACAAAAATCTACGCCGATTGGACAAAGGGCTTGAAGGTCAGTCTGCTCGGTCTTGATCTTACGGGTGCGTATGATCACATTGACCGACGCAAATTGCTGGACAAATTGATCTCACTTGGTATACCTGATTGGCTGATCGAGATTACATGGTCATTTCTATCTGATCGCCGCACCTACATCCACCTTCCCGGCTACGATGGTCATGAGTATTACATCGATGTCGGCGTTCCTCAGGGAAGCCCGCTCTCCTCATTGCTATTTTTGTTCTACGCGGCGCCCCTCTTAGACGAATTGGCCACGAACTACACCTCCGCAATGCTTTTTTCTTACGTTGATGATACGTACATTCTCCTTTCCACAAGATCATATGAAGAAAATGTTGCGAAAATGGGCATTATCCATGACCGGCTTTACGAGTGGGCAAATCAGAACGATATGCACTTTTCACCTACCAAATACCATATTATGCATTTTTCGAAGCCGGGAAAGGGAAACAAAGACGTCAACTGTAAGCTTTTGCCGAAAATGATCGGTTTCCAGGGTTTGAACAAGCAAGAAGAAGAGAGCATTTTACAGCCAACGATGACTATCCTCGGGGTTGTTTTCGATCGACGCCTCACTTGGGTTGACCATGTCAACTATGTAAGTTGTGTCCCTCTTCATCCGTTGATCTCTTCGCCCAAAATAACTCACATATAGAAAGTTACGCGAAAAGGTTAGGAAGAGGCTGAAGAACTACCAGTTCCTTTTTGGGTCAACCTGGGGTATCACGCTCGAGCAACGACGTAATCTTTACCACCAACATCTCATTCCCATCATTACATACGCCTGCCCCGCTTGATTTCTCGATAATACACTTGACGAGAAAAGCCACAAAAGTTTAAGCTTTCGCATATCAAGGCACGCCATTGACAGATTGGAATCCCTCCAAACTGAGATCCTCCTTAAACTCTCTAAGGCTTGGAGACGAACTTCCAAAGAACTGTTGCAGAATGAAATGCATATTCTACCGATTTCCCTGCAACTTCATGCAGCTGCGATGAACCATCGGTGCCGAAAACTTGGTTCGAAAGAGTACGAGTTCATGCGAATCTTGGCTGGGGCAGAGAGAGAGGATCATCCTCATACTCAAATGAGCTCGCTAGCAAGTGATTACAAGCGTCAAATATTTGAGAACAAGGAGATCTATTATGATGGGGCAGCATGCGACAGTATGTGGGCAAAGGCAGCGACACGAAAACTTTGGATCAAGAATTTCATCGAGATGAAGACATTTGCCAAAGCAAAGGAGCAGTTTGATTTCTGGAGGCGCATGCAAGGAACCGAGTCGTCTCGCACTCGGAAATTTGCGCAGCCAGCATACCAAGTTGAGTTTGGTGAGCACACTCTGAAGCTCTATCACGGTTTGGATACCCCACAGCAAACCATGCTTTTAGGAATGCGCACTGGCAACATTGCCGTCAAATCCAATCCAGTCTTCCGTTATCACCTGAAGACTACGGACATGAGTTGTCCACACTGTGGATACATTCCTCACACTATCAAGCACATGCTATGCGCCTGTCCAGCCCTAAATAGGGTGAGAACACACCTAACGGGAGCCGCTGATCATAACAACTTCGATACCTTCATGAATCGTGACACTGGACTTGCTACATCATGGGCCATTGCGTACATGGCTATACCTCATTTCGATTCGGTCAAAAACAAGGAGAAGTATCAATTTCCCCGGAAGCAGAAGGTCAGATGTGAGGGTACCTGAGTTTGGCAACTGATTCATATTCCGCTATATAGCATTAATGTCATCCTTTAACTAATTGGCTCCGGCCTTTCTGAGTGGAGTTTCTGAGAGAAAAGAATTCTGAGATTGATTACAACTAGTAAGCAGCAACTACCGCGTAAGTATGTAAGAAAAGTTGCATCATAGTGTTCAATGACTAATTGCTACTAGGCACCCATCCTCCGCTCCACCAATCGACACCGTCACGGTAAGTACTATATGTAAGCCGCGAAGGTAATATGCAGCTAACTTTGCAGCCCGCAACCCATCGATACCGTCACGGTAAGTACTCTGTGTAAGTCGCGACTGTAATATGCAACTGACTCTGCAGCACCAGCAGCGTCGACACGAGCGACACGGTGAGTCATTGGCACTTGCCAAACAATATCATTCCACCAGTCTAAAATAACAAAAAGGTAGCCTGATCCACCCCGTAAGTTCTTCAATACTCCACGCAGCAGTTAGACCTAATCAAAAAAGAAAAGCTACGACACATCATGCGACTTCCTCCGACTCATCCCTCCCAACCGCCCTCAGATGCCTCCGAATGAAGTAGAGCGTCGCCCCCATCCATGCCAAGCTCTCCTTGCTCCAAAACTGTTCCCCGAACCTCCTCTGCTCCCTCGTGGGATTCGGTGCAGTAATGGCGCTTTTGATACGCGTCATGTTGGCCTCCAGCCACTCGCGAGTCTCCTCACTCGGTCCCTCGACGTGACGTATCAACTCCATGCTCACTTTGTACACCGCGAGCGCGTCCGTGTGGTCGATCAGGGCAGTGTAACTGCCTTCCGATCCGCTGATGCTGACATCGGGGAGGGGTCCGCACCACCGTTTTGGCACAGATCNATCAAACTTCAACCAGACGGATACGTGTTGTTTTAGATCTCTCGGTACATGCTTAGG